CTGGGTTTGGGGTTCTGCTGAGAGAAGCAAAAGGTTAAAAAGCCCCAAAGAACACAATAAATCCCCTCAGAACTGGGATCTCTGGGTTTGGGGTTCTGCTGAGAGAATCAAAAGGTTAAAAAGCCCCAAAGAACATCAGGGGCTGCTGGGAAGACAAGGGTGGGGTTGGCTGCGAGCTGGGAGGGGACAAAAGCCCTGTCTGAGTCTGAGGGTAAATATTTGGGTGAGAGATTATGTTCTGTGAAGCACAAAGTGCCTCAGGTCCCACATCGGCCCTGCCAGAGTCAGGGGGGAGATGAATCACAGCTCCTGCCCCAGGTATTGCACAAATCTCTTCCCTCTTTGACCTTAACAGCACCAAAATCAGAGCTGGGCTCGCCTCAGCCTGGTGGCCCTGCCACCATCCAGGGGACAGGAGCTCAGAGAGGTCACAGAAAAGTCATTGCCTCTCTTCCCTTGCTCATTTAGAAAGGGAAATAACAGAGCCCACCCTGCCCTGAGTAATTTATTTTCATTCCTTTTGGCTCTGGGGTTTGCTCAGAGCTGAAGCTCAGAAATGTCAAAGCTACCTGGCACAGAGGTGGATAATATAATCTACCAAGATAATATTCCCATTGCAGAAAACTTCTACCAGCTAAAAATGAGCTGCTAAAATGATCTGATGAGGACTGAGCAAGTTTTGATATGAGGGAAAAAACAAGGAAAAGCAAGCTCAGGAACAGTTTTGATTGGAGAAATTTCCAAGGCACAGTTTAGTCCTGTTGATTAAAGCTCTGTTTGATCCCTGTAGTGATTTTTCCTGAAATTCTTGGAGCTTAAAAAGAAGAAAGGTTCAACTTTTGAATGGGCTCAGGAAAAATATTTGGAGCAACAAGTTCTGTGGTCTCAGAAGAGCTGCTGAATGGGGCATTGTGGCCACAGAGCTCCTGTGACACTTCTGCAACTCACACAGAACAGAACTGGGTGCAGAGATCACCTTTGGCCCCAGTGATAATGGGGAAATGTGGTGCTAAAATTGTAATTCCCTTAGAATAACATTCAACAGGGAAATAATTGGGAATTTCTTTGGGTTTAACACTTTACCTGTTAACTCCTTCAAGCATTTTTTAACCCACTCTCAAATAATTGGGAACTCCTTTGGGTTTAACACTTTCTTTTTGCTTCTTCAACCTGATATCAAATAAATACCCATAAAAAAACCCTCTTTTCTTGAGAGGACTCAATGCCCCAGGCTTGCAAATGCCAGGCTGAGAGAGGAGAGAAAGATTTTCCCCTCACATCTTGGAATCTCTTCTCCAGCGTGGAGCGGATGTTGGTCTCAATGCTGGTCCTCTTCTTCCTTTTCCGTCCAAACATCTCATTCACTGAGGGGTAGGAGTTGGGGGTGCTCATGGAGGAATCCAAAGGAGCAGATTCTGGGGGAGGAGGGAGGGGAAAAGGAGATATCCAAGAAGATAATGAGTTATTTTCATTCCCAGATACTTCCTGTGAAACAAAGGCACCTTCTAAAATAAATTAATTTAATGGTGCCTGCTAAAATAGATTATTAAATTAATTAAAGGTGCCTTCTAAAATAGATTAATTGTAGATTGTGGATCCTCCCTCTGATGATGATTAAAATTGCTCCAAATCCATCAATGAGCTTGCCCAAATCAAAGAAGAAAAGTGTTTTAACCCACACACCGTTTTTCCTTTGTGATCCTGATTCCCAGCCTGCTCTGTCAGGGACCAGGGGTGTTCCAATAAATTCATTTCACACGGAAAAGGATGTGACCAAAGCATTTGGCTCGGGGTGGCTGAGATGTGACCGATGGCTCAGACATCCTGAAGGGTGAGGTCAGCACAGACACCACCCCAAACCCTGCTGCCCCAGGGAATTCTCCTCTCAGTGAAATCCTTCCTTTTCCAGCTGCTCCCCCTGGCCTGATCCCTCAGCAGATGCTCCCCTTCTTTTCTCCAGCTCCCACAGTGAGGGGCTGAAGGGGTTTGAGGGTCCTGGATGGATCCTCTCCTGCTGGTGGTGATGCCTCAGGTTTNTTATATTCCTTCTTTTAGTAATTTTCTAAGGATCTTTTACATTGTTGACTTACCAGCTGCCAAGCTGCTCCTGGAACTTGAGGGCATTGACTTCTTTGGACATGGCAAACCCCGTGGTATTAATGAAAAAGCAGATTTTCAAAGACTTAAAATGCTGCTTTTACATCAGTGCCTGGACTACGGCTGCAAGGGAATAAAGCTGTGAATATCAAAAAAATCCATTTTTTTCAAGTAGAAATAGGGAGTTCAGCTACAAAGAGAGAGGGCAGAGGACTGATAAGGGAGGTTAATTTTACAAAGCTCGACTGCAGGGCCAGCAGGAGAAGCAAAAGGCAGGCACAGGGTTGCCTGTGAAGAAATAATTGGATGATAAAAAATGAAATTAATTGGGTGTAGAAGGGCAGATCTCACTTTCCACAGACAAAGCACATCTGACCACTGACAATGCCAGATCTCGCCACTTCTGAGGACACCAGACCTGTGAGACATCGCAGCTCTGAGGCAAAGCTCCAGAACTCTGCTGCACTTTCTTCTCTGCTTCTGGAACCCCCTCAGAGGTTCAACAAAATCCCAGCACAAATTCAGAAAACACCTCCAGAGGGCTCAGTGCTGCTCACAGCTGCTCCCCAGTGCTGGAGGGGTTTAAGCTGGACTTAAGCTGGACATGCAAACAGCTAAATTGGCTTAACTATTTATAGGAGCAAGACTTTTGGTGCGCTGGATCTGTGGCCATCAGCAAGCAGAGAGGCTGTTTACCAACACACCAGCACAGGGCTTTGCTAGGCAATAATATTAATTTATGGTTGGGAAGGGCTCACAGTGTGGAAACACAGGAGATTCTTCTCCCATGGCACCCAGGACATGAAAAACAAAGGGAATATTTTTGCTCCATCCTTCTGAACCACTGAATCTTTGATTCAAGTTGAAAAGATTTTCTGAAAAGCCCTCCAGAACCATCCAGTGCAACCCGTGACTTAAGAGCAGCACCCAAACAGAGAAATCCAATTCCTCATGTAATTAAATAATTTTTATTTTTATAAAACATCATACAAAGCATCTACACCATTCACTGGTGGAACATTAGTTGCTATTACACAGTAATTCAGACACAAGTTATTATTTCACACTAGTTCTGCAGTTTCCTCTCACAGTTTGCTCTAGCCACTATGGACTAGCCTGAGGACAGGTCCCACCCTGTGCTCCACAGCTTGGAATTTGTACTTTTGGGCCTGTAAATCTATGCTGGAGCCCACTAAATGGGCTGTGAGGCCTTGCTGTGCCTCATAAAGCCATTTCTAATTGCCCCTTTGTTTCCTTGCTTACTTCCTAAAGCCTCAGAGCTGAGCAGTGCTCTCCTTCTTCCAACAAATTCAGAAAAGGGGGGAAACCTCTTCTGCTTTCCCAAACTCAAACCATTGTATTTCAAACTCTCTTCAAACAGGTGATTCACACATTCACTGCCATCCTCACTCACCTGGGCAGGTAACCCCAAAAAGCTGCACCCCAACCCTCAGCAAAGCTCAGAGCCCAAACCACCAGGGCTGTGGAAACTCTTCATGGTGGGCACCTCAGCAGCAAGGACCTGTTTGTTTTCACCTCCAGGACCTGCCCCCAGGACCTGTTCGTTTTCACCCCCAGGACCTGTTTGTTTTCACCCCCAGGACCTGTTCGTTTTCCCCTGCATTTCTGCAGGAGCTGCTGCTGCAAACCCTCATTCCCTGCTCAGGCCAATGGCTGAGACACTTTTGGCTCCAGATTCCTGCAATCCTGACCAGGGAAAAGCCAGCAAACCCCTTTTCCTCAGCTTGGGGCTCCCTGTGAGGATGCAGCAGACTAAAATAACCTTTTTCTGACCTTTATGAGCACGTCCAGCTCACTCCCTGTGTGACTCCTTTGCCAAACACCTCAGTCCTGCTTTTGGGATGCTGGGAAGTGCCCAGCTCAGGTGACAAAACTCAAAGCAACTTTTATACACAAACCACCCAGAATCCATCAAAGGTGGCTTGGTGCTGAATGGAAACACCCCATGAGGTAGGTAAGACTGCACCCACTTCCCAAAGTGGGTCAAGTTGAGGCAAAAAGGCTCCTGGATGTGCTCAAGAGAGCAGCAGAGCTGGGAAATAGAACCAGCAAGCCCCAACCAGCCCTTCTGGTCTCCTTTCAAGGCTTGAGAGTGCTGGATGGGTCAGGTTTCCTCTCCAGGACCAGCTCATCAGTTGGCTCTGCTCATCTGAAGGGGTTTTTTGGGGCTTCTTCAGGTCTTTGGCTGCAGCAAGCAAGGCTCAAGCAAAAGGGGGCACCTGAGCTGCACTGGAGGCTCAAAGGAAATGCTCAAAATCGCAGCAAAAACAAAGGAACAGCCCAAGGACATGCAATGAAATCAACTCCAGGAGCTGCCAGCTGGGCATGGCTTTTCCCTACAAATGGGACTGGATAAGTATTGCTTATTTTTCTCCCAGTCAGGTTTATTTTTTGCTTTAAGAAGATCAGATTCTGGGCCTCTCATTTCTTTACTGAGCTGTAAAATAAATCTCTCTGACCCTTTAAATGTTCACTTTTATATAAAAGTGACTTAGACCCAGTCAGAGGGAAATCAAAGCCCAGGGGTCAAGGCATCAGTTCAGATGAAGGAGAGCCAAGGTCAGTCTGTGGCTTCCACAGGGCAGATTCTGGGCAACCAGAAATCCCAATTTGGATTTAGGGCACAGAAGAGAGAATTTTGGTGTTCTGGAGACAAAATCAGGGCTTGGCTCATCAGCAAGAAAACCCCTGGCAAATCCTGATGGGGCTTCTCAAAGTGGAGTGTGCTGGTTACCCAAGGAGCTAAAAGCAGTGTTTGCAGGGGAATTTTAACAGTCAGGGAAGAAGAGGGAAAAATCAGGAAAAAACTTCCCTTCTGGGTCTGTGTCTTTGGGTGTATTCACAGAGCACCTAGTCCTGTAATTAGGCAGTGCTGATTAGAGCTAGGTTCTGGACACTACAGAAAATAAGTTATCAATAAGTTAATGAATAAGTTATTAAAAGGAGTTAGAAAGGGTAGGACACAACAACCTACCTAAAATACTGATTTTTCTAGAGTCTCACTCTAGCTCAACCACCAAAGTCGTTTCTCCCAAGGGAAACACAGGAATGATGCACCAAGTGCAGATATCAACCATCACTTTTCTCATATAGCACCTCTCGAGTAAAAATCTGAAAGTGCATAACAGATGGAGCAGCTCCATCTCCCCCAAGTCACAGAGGGGGAATGAGGCACAGAGTTCCAGCTGTGAGACTTGCCCAAGGTCACACAACGAGGTGGTGGAAGAGCCAGGAATCCCAGCTTGGAATCAACACTGGAACACTTCTTCCACCAGCATGGAGAGCCACTCCAGCTGCCTAGACTGACCAGGACACGGAGACCTGGTGTTACCTCATCTGAGCTTCCAAGATCCTGAAGGAGCTGGCTACACTCATCACTATTTACACCTGCACTGCTGGACTAGCCATGGTTAGTCTATAAAATTAGCCCTTCTTTCCCTCCTCGTTCAGGCTGTGCACACCAACGAGGTGGTGGAAGAGCCAGGAATCCCAGCTTGGATGCAACACTAGAACACTTCTACCAGCATGAAGAACCACTCTAGCTGCCTAGACTGCACAGGACACAGAGAATCCAGCATTACCTCCTTCTCTCTTCCAAGATCCTGAAGGAACTGGCTACACACATCACTGTTTACACCTGCACTGCTGTACTTGCCATGGTTAGTCTCTAAATTAGCACCTCTTTCCCTCCTCGTTCAGGCTGTGCACACCAACAAGGTGGTGGAAGAGCCAGGAATCCCAGCTTGGATGCAACACTAGAACACTTCTTGCACCAGCATGAAACTCTGGTGAGAACTCTAGAACTCTAGCTGCCTAGACTGCACAGGACACGGAGACCTAGTGTTACCTCCTCCTCTCTTCCAAGATTTGAAGGAGCTGGCTACACACATCACTGTTTACACCTGCACTGCTGGACTAGCCATGGTTAGTCTATTAAATTAGCCCTTCTTTCCCTCCTCATCACCATTTACACCTGCACTGCTGCGCTAGCCATGTTTAATCTATAAATTAGCCCTTCTTTCCCTCCACATCACCATTTACACCTGCACTGCTGCACTAGCCATGGTTAGTCTATAAATTCTTCTTCTCCTCCTCGTTCAGGCTGTGCACACCGTGCCAGCTCTGCCCAGTGAATCCATGGCATAGCTCCATGGCTTTCAGTGGAGTTAGGCCAGGGATAAATTTGGCTCCAGATCTGCTAACGTGCGTTGGCTCCTCTCCCTCCAGCAGCATTCCAGGCACGATCCCCTCCTTGCCAGCCCGTGAACTCGAGGAATTCTGCTCATCCTCCATCAGTGCCCTTTGAGGTGCCCGTTGGTTTTCCAGCCCAGCTCGCGGCTCCTGCGGCTCCTCCAGGCCTGGTACTTGCTGATGCTCTTCCTCCTGGCGAAGCGGCAGATGCTGACCATGAACACCCAGGACACCACGTACATGACCACCCCGCCCAGCTTGATGTACCAGCGGGGCCGGGGCGAGGCCAGCTCGCAGTACATCAGCCAGGCCCCCACGCCGATGCGCACGCCCGTGAAGAGCACCACGAAGAGCAAATCCACCAGGTCGCCCGCCAAGCTGTGGTAGTGGCCCAGCTCCTTGAGGAACCAGCGGGCCTGCAGCAGCGGGTTGGTGATCTCGCTGCCGAAGATGACGGCGTTGACGTCGCCGGCCGACTCGCCCAGCGCCAAGGAGGCGGCGATGCCCACGATGCTGACCAGGTGGTGGGCCAGCATCAGGGCACCCTCTGTCTGGAAGTACACGCACCAGCACAGGTCAAAAATGAAGTAGCCCAAGCTAAGGCACAGCCCGTGCACCTGAAGGGTTGTGTTGGGTGAGCCTGAAAGGTAAAAAAATAGAGATTTAAAGCGTGGAGGTGTGTCGCGGACATCTTTTATGGAAAATCCTTTCCTTAGGATTTTTCCTCCTGAGAGAAGCTGAGATGCTTCAGGAACAAAATGTAAACAATGGTTATCTGCTGCTGTGAATGCAATAGGTGCATCTGTGATTGGTTCATGTTGGTTGTTTCTAATTAATATTGGTGTACCAAAGGTATGAATATGTATTTGTATTTTGGGTATTCAGTACTTGTATTGATTTGATACCTATGGATATCAAAATCCATAGATTTTGGATATCAAAATCCATAGATCAATATCTATATTGGGAATGGGATGTACCAAAGTTATGAACATGTATTTGTATTTTGGATATTCAGTACCTGTACAGCTAAAAGGACTCTGTAATCACCTGTAAATTTGGTGTGTATTTGGGAGCTATCCCACAATAAACACACACTTTCTAACTCTAATATTGGTACTAGATCAATATCCATATTGGGAATGGGCTGTACCAAAGTTATGAATATGCATTTTGTATTTTGGGTATTCAGTACTTGTATAGATAAAAGGACTCTGTAATCACCTGTAAATTGTGGGGTGTATTTGGGAGCTATCCCACAATAAACACACACTTTCTAATTTTAAATTGTTAGACAGTCTTTGTCTGTCACAGTTGGATATCGGTACTAGATCAATATCCATATTTTTAATAAATCAGAGGCAGCAGGATGTGAGCCAGGGCAGGGGTGTCACATCCCTGTGACAATGCCACAGTTGTTAGTTGTTAGCAGCTGCACACACGNGGCTGGGCTCTTGTGCTGCCCAAGGTGGATCCATTGAGGAGATTTTAATAAATCCCTGCTTTATTCTTTAGCTCTTTCTAATCTCTGTTCTAGCTCAGCCTTCCCAAGGCACCAGTGGCATTTCTGCCCGGCTGTCACCCACCTGCATCACTGAGCCACTTCTCCAGCAGGGGCTTGAGCTTGCACATGTTCTTGAAGCTCAGGTTGAGAGCCTCGAAGCGGGAGATCGTGGTCTGGCTGAAGTCATTCCCGTAGAGCTTCCCCATGGCCAGGCCAACGTCCCCCTGCCAGGGACACCCAAACCCCACAGTGAGCACAGGGGAACCCCTCCCAGCTGTCCCAGCCCCAGCAGAATCACAGAATTAACCAGTCTGGAGAGGACTTCTCAAGCTGAACCAAGGTTGGATATCAGGAAAAAGGTTTTAGAGAAAAACTGATAAAGTTCTGGAATGTTCTGCCCAGGGAGATGGTGGAGTCGCCATCCCTGGGTGTGTTTAACAAAGCCTGGATGTGGCTCTGGGTGCCAGGGTTGAGTTGAGGTGTTGTGGCTGGGTTGGATTTGATGATCTTGAAGGTCTCATCCAACCCAGTGATGCTGTGACCTTTGAGATCATCCAGTCCAACCTATGACCCAGCACCTCCTCATCAAATAAACCCTGGCACTGAGTGCCGTACCCAGTGACTCCACCACTTCCTTGGGCAGGTGATTCCAGAGCCCAGTCATTCTTTCAGGGAAGGATTTATTCCTCTTGTAGCCTAAACTTCCCCTCATGCTGCTTCCAGGATAGTTTCAGCCTTGTTTCCATGACCTGCCTGCCAGGGAAAGGGGATTTATTCCCCCCAGGAATCTGCCCCCATCCCTGAATACTGGAGAAGGAGCAGACATCGAGGTTATGGTGGTGAGGCACTAAGAAGGGTTTTTGTCTTTGTGAATTTGGAAGGGAATGCTGCAAAATAACCCAATTTTACCTAACCCAGCCTTTCCTTCACCCACAGGTGTCACCCTGGTTTTTTAAGATTTTCTAAGCCTTCTGATGTTGACCTTGTAGTGAACTTTCTCACACACTTGCTGTAAATAACTCATTGCTTTGCATTTCTTTATGGAGGAGGAGAAATTTGATGGGCTGTTGGTTTGACCAGTGTCATTGGAGAGGTGGCACTGTCACCCTCAGTGAAACTATAAATGTTAAAACCAGAAAATAAACTTCCCTTTTTCCTCACCTCGAGAACAGCGGTGTGCGCTTGTGTTTTTCCGTGTCCCACAGCGACACACAGCTCTGCCCCAAATTCCCCCCATCCCCTCCCTCTCACCTGTGTGAACCCCAGCTTGATCCTCCTTTGTTTGAAAGTCTTTGCAAACTTCTCCAGCTCCTCCAGGTCGCTGGGCTCCTCGGATGCCCCTGCTGGGGTCAGGTGCTTTGCCACCTGCAGGTGCTGGGGGACGTCCAGGTGGGGCTCAACCGAGGAGCCAGGCAGGCCAGAGCGACCCACAGCCTGTCCAAAACACCCCAAAAAACATGCTCAGAGTCACAAAAATAAAAAAAAACAGAATGTTTCCTGGCCTATCTGCCCTCCCTCGAGCAGCAGGGGGAGTTTGGCACGCCCTCAGGTGTGTTCTTACACACACTCAGGTGTGTTCTTATGCGACTGTGCTCACAGGGGTTTTCAGGTGAGGGAAGAGACGAGGATCTGACTCCATGTTCAGAAGGCTTGGTTTATTGTTTGATGATATATATTACATTAAAGCTATACTAAAAAGAATAAAAGAAAGGATTTAATCAGAAGGCTGGCTAAGAATAGAAAAAGAAAGAATGATAACAAAGGTTTGTGTCTCGGCTCTCTGTCTGAGCCAGCTGGGCTGTGATTGGCCATTAATTAGAAACAACCATGTGAGACCAATCCCAGATCCACCTGTTGCATTCCACAGCAGCAGATAACCATTGTTTACATTTTGTTCCTGAGGCCTCCCAGCTTCTCAAGAAGAAAAAATCTCAAGAAAAGGATTTTCAGAAAAGGATTTTCATAAAAAGGATTTTCATGAAAGGATGTCTGCGACATTCTTACACACCCTCAGGTGTGTCCTTACCTGCGAGGCCAGGCTGGGTCCGGGCTGGGAGAGGAGGAGGCTGCCCTGCTGCTGAGGGAAGGAGAGGAGGTTTGGCTGCAAAGCTGAGGGGATAAAAAAAGAGACATTTCTGGTCAGTGAACACCCCCAGGGAAGCTCGGAGTGCAAAGCTCCATTTGTTATTTCTTGCCCAAAATACAAGAATTTCAGCCCTTAGGAACGTGTCTGGCTCTGAGTGGATTATGAGAAATAAAAGGTTCTTCCCGTGGCTTTTGAGCCTGCAAGGGATCATTACAATAATGGGAGAAATGAAATATCTCATTTGCTGATCCCTGCGTGTCACTCATCACACTCAGGCATTTGAGAGACCTCTAATCTTGATTTTAGGTGCCAAGCAGCAGAGAATTTTCTACATCCTTCCTTCTACATCCTTCCTGGGGATTTCTCTCAGTGCTTAATTATTGCAGCTCTTAGAAAAATGGACATCTTATTTCCAATATAAGCCCTTGTGACTCCAACTTTCAGCCACTTGATCTTGCTAAAAAAACCCTGATCCTCCAGCTAATCTCATGAGCCCTCCCAGTCTGCTCTCAATTCTACATTTCATTTTCAAATGTCATTTGGAAGCCTTCTGACCCCTTCTTTCCTACCCTACTGTATTTCAAATAAATTGAATTTCTTTCAGAACATCGGAGCTGACACGAAATGATGAAAGGAAGAAAGAAGGGAAATCCATAAACCAAACAAAAAATGGGATTTATGGAGAGGGTGTAATTGTTTCCTTGACAAACTGCCAAGTACAAGCCTATATCTCTTAGAGGGAATGTCCTACAGGATTAGGTTGTGTAGTTCCCCAGAAATTTAGTTGGTTTCAAGTCCATTGTGAGTGAAACCTATAGAATTTAGTGAGGATTTATAACCTTGCTCAGAGCAGTCAATATATTTAATTGATTATAACTGACAATTACAGGGAGATCCGTAGAAATTTATGGACTTCTGCTAATAAAAAGGAAAACAGATAATCTCCAAAATCAATCACTGCCCCCTCTCTCTGCCTTTTCTTATTTAATTTAGATCTGATGTGCAAAATCCCATTTATTTACTCAGGCTGGGGTTGGAATAAGCTTTCCCTAACGCTGGAACAACTTCAAATTTCAAATCCAGGCTGGTAATGAGGTGCACATTTTTAGCAGTGCAGGTAATTAATCACTGCAATGGCTTTGCCTTGGGACATGGCAGATGCTCTGTCATTTGGAGTCTTTAAAATCATGATTGAACACCTCAGCTCTGAGGGAAAATGAAGGCTGGGTTCAGGAATCACCGGTCTGACAGCTGAGATGAAGATTTCAGCAGCAATGTTCAGGCTGACAGGATTCCCAAAACTCCATGGTTGTTCATTCCCACCTTTCCAGATTCTCCCACCCCTGATTCAGGTGTTTGGATTTTATTGGGAGTGAGGAATAAGAGCTGGGAGTTTATCTGACAGCTTCAAAACACAAACAAGCTCAAATTCACATCCCTGTTGGAAAGGTTCAGCCCCCAGCCAAGCCCTAAAATCCATTTATGGACCCACAGTCCAAAATTAGGAGACACTCAGAGGATCCCTGAAGGCCCCAGGGAAAATTCTGGAATATTGGAGGAAGGAAAACTCCACTTGAACCAAATTCCTCTCCATTTTCACTCCCCACTGGCTGTGCATGCATGTGGAAAAAGCACAATGAAACCCTGGCAATCAGCCATGCAAAATGCACAAAAATCCAGCTCAGGGCCAGAATATCCAGCCCTGGTCAAGCCTGGAACTGGAAGGGGTGAGAAGCAAACAGAGCTGCCAAAAAAATTCACTGGACAGATAAATTCCAATCTCTCCAAGGCAGCAAGTTCTGCTTTGCAGTAAAAGATGTTTATTATTCATGAATAAAAGCAGGCAGCAAGGAATAGATTGGCCTGACCGTATTTCAAACAAACAAATTCAAAACTATTTGTAAATATGCATCAAGTATCTTTATCCATCACTCAGTGTCATTTGGCAGAGAGGAGAATTTACATCCTGTCAGGAAGAAATAAATTCCCCACTTGCTTTTGGAGTGTGTGAGCCAGAGGGTTCAAGCTGCAGAGATTTAATGTTATAATCCTG